GGGGGGGGGCAGGGAGAGAATAATGAGGGAATAAATATTCCCTTTCCCCTGATGCCTGAGATGACTGCAGCACAGCCCTCTTCCCAGTGGAATTGTAGATTTAATTTATATTTATGAACATTTTTGAGATAATCAATCTATAATAATTTTAATCTATATTTCTGCCTATTCACACATACACATAATCAATGCACCATCTATTTGCTTGAAGGGAATGATGCACTGCATGATTTGAAACAGTGGCTCAATAAAGCAGCAACCTAGCTTCTGGGAGCTCATCATTCAAAGATTAGACTTTGGGATCCTATTACTGCTACACTCTTACAGCTGCAACCCAAATGAATTTTGTCTCTCCAGCCTTGTGTATGCAATGGTGTTAGAGTCACTACTGGTACAAATGCATCTTGGGGCAAAATGCCAAACGCTACAAAGCACTGTCTCTTTACATAAAGAAACAAGCTAAGTGATAGTCAGCTATTCAGAGAGACTGATTTGTTTAAAGTAATCAATGACTTTTTGTACATTTCTTGATGGATTCCACAGGAAGCTTTAGGAAAGTTTAAATCCTGTTTTAGAATACCTTATTTTTTACTTTATTTTTTCTTGGTAAACTTAGATATCCAATGTACCGGTTACTTTAATTTGGTACTATTAGGCATATCAAAGTTATTGCAGAAGTTACAGGTTATCTTGTTTGAGATCTTAGGCTTGATATTAAAAAACCCATAAATTTCTTGCAATTATCTCCAGGAATCACTCTTGTAGACCCATCTCTTTCTCTTTAAGACTAACTGATGCTGAAGATTTTCTGTATGATTTTGTGATCTCAAAGCTATCTCTGGAGGCCTAGTCCAACCTCCTGCTCAGTGCTGCTGAGGAACTTGTGATGATGAGCTGCTAGTATCTTCAAGGTTGGAGGTTCCACAACGCCTGTGCAGATCAGGGTGTTCAGACATGCTGGGACAAAAGGAAACTCTAGAGACATCACAAAGTCCTCTTCTCAGATAAGACTGACCAAGATAGCAGATTCTCAGAGACTGGTGACACATGACCATGATATATTGCAGACTTCAGAGAGGCAGAGAATGCCAATGCATATTCTCTCTGTCGGTGGGAAAACCCATTCAAGTGAAGAATTTTTTTCTGACATACTTGTAGGAATAGAGTTTTTCATTTTTGTTCCTGTTTCCTCTAAGAAATTATAAGAAAAAAATCCATTTGTGCATTCAAGAGAATCACCAAGGTGTTTCTGCCAGGAATTGAAAGTGTAATAGGAAGAGCCTGACAAAGATGAAGTCAATAAAATTAGAGTGTTGTTACGCTAACCTAAACTGCTCTCTAGAGCAATGGGCTCAGTTTCTTTACTTCACCTGGGAGAAAACAAACTTATATTAAGTTTGTGAATAGATTTGTGAAGAAACTGTATATAATAATAATAATTTGCAAACAGCCCAGCTCTAACAGCTTCATGAGTCTTTGATGTGTTAATATTCTCATAAAAGTAAGTTATATCCTTATACCTATAAATTGCATCAACTGGGGTTGCTGAATTCATGGGTGGGTGTGTGAGTTTCCTTAGACACAAATTGTAATAAATTCAACCAAAGTCAGCAGCTATTATTTTTATGCACCACAGAGTCAGAAGTGCTATTGAGCTATTTTTCCTTTGTTTAAAGGCACTCTGCCAAGCTTAGAAAACGTTTAAAGATACATTTGTTCTTCCTATTGCAGAAATACTATTTTGAAAAAGATAACACAAGTATTTTATTTTTACTAGTGGTTTTATAAGAGTATTGTACTATGCTTTTTATTTCACACATTTGGGAAGCATTCTTCCATCTCTTTAAAGGACAGTGTACCTGATTTCCTTTTAGTTATAAGTGTGCTTAAACCAGTTGTGGTGAAAAGCTTCTGTTTACTCCGAATCATCTTCTGGTTCTCACAAAGCCTCCTATTGTTTTAGGGAACTATTACTATACCATTTTCTTTTTCTTATCTAGGTTGCTGACCATACATATTGTTGCTTCATAAAATTGTAACTTATTTTGTGGCCTGGATAACTTTGATAGGAGTTTTCCTTTTGCTTTCTGCATCTTTCCTCAAAATTGGAGTAAACACTATACTCTGTTTTGATCTTGTGCTAGAGTGTGAATAGGCACTTTCCACTGCATTTCCTTAGACACAAGGAACAGTTCTTCTGGTTTTCCTGGGTCATACTTTCTTTATGAAGCAGCTATTCTTTTATCTTAACAATGTACATGAGAGATGACCTTTTGCTCAAGAAATTTCCACTTAAAAGAGCAGTCATGCTTGAGATCTGTTCCTGCCGGTCGAAGACCCACAGGCAGGAAGCAAGAAGGGTGAGAGAGACTTTAACCCACCTTCCTGCCCTCCTTTGCCAGTGCAATGGTGACAGAGGTTGCTGCAGTTAAGGTAGCTCAGCTTTAGCCATCCATGTGCTCTCAGACCCCCACCCTGAAGCCCCCTGTGACTTGAAGCTGCTTCCTGAAGGTGCTACTTAGCAGATGTTGAGCTGTAACATCTCTCACAATTAACCAATTAGTATTAACCAGGCATGGTTGAGCCACACTAGTCAGTAAACAGCCCAGGAGTGTGGTCCTGACTAAGAAATCCTATTGCTTTGATTTTGTGTTGAGGTGAAGGCCCCTCCCTGCTGTAAGGATGGCAGCTATGCCAGAAGTCAAGTTGTGAAAAGACCCCCAAAGTCCTATTGCTTATTGTCCTCCTCATTCTCTCAACCAGGAAGAATTCTATTTCATGGTCCTTCATCTATTTACCCAGCAAAAAATGAATCTCCTTCTCTCCTGCCTGATAGGTGGTGTATTCCAGAATGAGAACAGGTAAACCTGGAAACTTGGGAGGAACTTGGTAAGACCTAGGTAATTTTAATATTCATCTCACTCCACACAAATATTTATCCTTGCTTTCCTGTGGCAGAATATGGTTGCAGGCTCGGCAATAAAAGGTGTTATTCTGCTTAACTTAATAGCTAATCAATCTGCTGTTTGTATTATCAGTGCATAAATACCCTTCTGTAAAAAGAACATGATTTTTCTGCATTTGTATGGCAACAGAATTGCAACAGCTTAAAAATCTAGTGGTTTTTTTTTTTTTTTTTTTTTTTTTTTTTTTAAATCTGTTTTTAAAGGTAGTTCACAGAGCAATCTCTGGCATGCTTTGATCAGATATAAATGAAGTGTCATGTTTCTCTGGCCTGATCAGATGTCTACAATGTCTTGAAATCTGGTATCCAACACAAATATGTGAAATTACTAACTGTAATTTTCTATTAATATTCCTTAGTATTTGACAAAAAAATTGCTAGCATGACAAACATTTGAGTAACAGTTATGAAAATTCTTGTGCAGACTGTTCAGGAAATGGGACAAATACAGTCAAAGTGGTTTCCATCTGAGGAGCTGAATAAGGATTTTTCTTTTTCTTTTACATATTTATTTGTGTGGAGTCAGAGCAGCAGCATTAACTGCACCATGTTGACAGGCACTTCATTAGCTTTACTTTGAAGTGAAAGCTCATCAGAAGATGGACATTTAAGAGACTGCCTGGAAAGAGAGAAGCTGGATCTGAATCCTGGATCTATTGAGTGTTGTGGTTGCTGTTTGTTAGTTCAAAAGAAAAACTACACACAGCTCTGATTTGTACATCTATTTGGAACAGTTGCTAACTTTGTTTCTCTATCCCAGCAAAACGGCAGTGCACTAAGTGTGCCAGAAAGATAAAATCACTGGAGAAAAAAAAGACAGAATCTTCGAACCAGGCTCAGTTGGAGGCTAACCTGTACTCTAAGGACTTTTTTTTTTTTTTTTAACATCTAATTTTTCTTTTTAGCTTCAAGCTGACTGGGTCACCAAGGTCTTTCATCAAAGGAAATATAATATTATTCTCTGTCAAGAAAATCCAGTACAGCAACATCAGCCTTTTATAGGCAAAGACTCAATGCTCATAGCAGCAGAATTATTATTATTTTTTTAATTCTTAGGACCAAACCCATTTCTCTACTACAAAAATTTCCTCCAGAACCCTCAAAAAACATTTCATCTCAGCATGATTCCAGACCAAAGAAATTCCAATTAAGCAGAAATGGGCTCATTTTACAAAGTTCAGATTTCATATACTATTGCAGTTCAGTGCATTTGTGTCAATGATTTAACTAGGCCTTAATATTTTTGGTAGCAACCAAAACCTGCTTAGAGTTGTAAAGAACTCTCTACAACTCCTTCTATTCACTGATGTAAGCAGCTGATGACAATATAGGATAAATTAAACCCAGCATTATGAATAAAGTGAAAGATTTTTTTTTTATCAGGTTTCTACCCCTGAGATGTCTGAGATCCCAGGACTTCACATGAAGATTTTTATAAGGCTGAAGAAACACAGGGTAGGTACCTAGACCTAGTCCAACTTCATTATAATATGAGATCAGGGAAGCTGGTTTTCACTGTGGGCTGGAACTGAATTGTACAGAGCAGTAAAATATCTATAGCTACACTACTTTGGGTTAAGTTTTCAAAATAAGGTTTTGAGATCTTACCAAAACATTATCATTTTTTTTTTTTTTTCCAAATCAACCATCACCACCAATTTATCTTCCACAGGATTTTAATTCTTTTTCTGCAAGAAAATATTCCCTTCTTGCATGCTTTTCCAAACAGAAAAGACTTGGTTACATCATTAGGAAATTACTAAACTTCAGATTTATTACTCTCAGATTTTTACTCAAACTGCATAAAACCATCTGCCAGAAGGCCTCTTTCTTTTTTCGTCCTGATGTTCATCATACATCCTGCTTCCCATCTCTGTTTTCAAATAATCCAGACTACTCAGACAGGGGAGGTTTCTGTAGCAATAACAACTGTATAAAACCCCTCCCTCTCCCTCTTCTTCACAACTTTCCTTTCGTTCCAAGTACCTAATGTGCTCAGTTCCATGGAAAATTAAGTCCCAAGTAGCAAGAGTTTCAAGCTTTCAAGATTGTTTTCAAGCATGCTTGCTCTGTTAACATCTAAACACCTTTGTTTGTTTTTTTTTTTTTTTTAATATAAATAACATACTCAAACTGTGTCTCCTGTATTACTGCTCAGTAGGGAAAATACAGCTAAAGAAGCTGCAGGGCTGGCTGCACAGTTAGCATCTGTGTGTTTGGCCACAGTTCATTTCTGGGACTTGAACTTGAACAGAAGCCCAGGAAAGTATTCAACATACAGTGATTCAGTAAAGTTTAATGCAACTCTTCAAAGAAATGAGAAAAGAATAAGCCTTCAGCTTATAAACCATAAGGATTATGGGTACAGGAGCCATATTTTCAAAGTTAGTCCTAATTTCAGTTAAAATAGTTATTTAACCTGAGCCCAAGCAATTGACCTCAATCCCCAAACTTAAAGACTGATGCACTCTGATATGAAACTTTTTCTATTGAGCAAGAATAGAATCAGCACATTCAAGGTTTTCAGACATTTAGAACTAAACGGTTCTCATAAAAAAGGAAATATTCTTTTTTTGTAGCTATAGCTCTATTAATGACATATTTTGGTAAATAATGCTTTAATCTCTGTGAGATTGTGAACAAATGTGTTGAACTGACAGAGAATTACATTCCTTCTTCCATAATATCATTTAAAAAATATTGCAGACATATTTAAAAGACTGTTCTATAAGATTCTTCTGCAGAAGTCTAACTGCCATTATTAGCCCTGTGAATATGTGATTGTCCAAAGCTCACATATGTATGAATTCGGGCACACGTGTCATTTATGCCTCTCCTGGATTTAGCATGTGTATGCTCAGCTTGGCAGATTTGACTCTTTACTGTAACTCTCTGCTTAGCAATAACTCTAGATGCTGTGCAAGGATGGAGCTGAGGGATGGACCAGCTCCAAAGTCCGGATATACCTTTTTCCAAAAGAGCTTGCTCAGTGGCATGGGGGTAGATGATGCTTTCTCCTTTGTTGCCTCTTTGGGGACTTCACTGGCCGGTACCTGCTGTTGGGCTGCAGGCTCAGGGGCTTTTGTATTTGGCTTAGATGTCTGTGGCTCTTGAGAGGAAGGGACATTTTTGTCTGATTTTACAGAGGTAACAGGCTGCTGTTCAGTGCTCTAGAAAAAAAAAAACAAAAAACAAAAAACAACACAGGAACACATAGGCTATTGGAAATGTATGAAGGACAAAATACTCACAACACATTCAGGCACCACTTGGTATAAGATGTAAGCACACAGCAGAACACCACTGCACAGGACACACAAGACAACGAGGTGCAGCTCATGAGCCCTTCAAATGAAGTAATGTCTTGAAAAGAGGAAGCAAGTTACATAGCAACCCACCCTTCATAGTAGAGAAGATTAATTGATAAAGAAATTAGAACACTCTCTTTGAGACCGAAGACGACAGCGAAAGTAATTACCCTTTAACTACATTATTCATAGAGATAACTTGAATCATCCTACTCACTTTGGTATTAGTTGTCTGTTGGGTCTCTTTTGCAGCCTGAAGGGAAACAAAACACAAAGAGAAGTCTGTCTCTGGCAATGTCAGTGCTCACAGTTACACAGTTCAGGAATTGTCTGCGTGACAAACTATTTTATTTTTAGTGAGTGTTTGTGAAAGTCCTGGCTCCTGCAACCATGGAAACTGATCCCTGGCAGAGGCGAGGCTGCCTGAAGGGACTGCCAGCTCCCATCCTTCTACCTGCAGCAGCCTTGTGTGGGACTGATTTGTGCTCATGGTGCTGTGCTTGCAGCCCTCAGCTTGTCCTTTAAAAACAGTTGTATTTACATATGCATTCCCAGTTTCTTCAGGTAAGACATTACAGAGGGTTTTAAGATTTTTCTGAGCTGGGTCTGCCGGTGCACACATACAAATCAGAGCTGGGTCTTTCCCACTGGGGGAACTGCATACCAGTCTGAGACCTGCTAACATCACCTTCAGGCCTTGCTTGCTGGGGTACAAAACACAGGCAGATGACTGCCTGGGAACGAAGGGCACAGAACAGCAGTGGCTTTATAACTGAGAAGCAAGAGTTAGAGCTCTACAAAAAGAAGCTCTGCAGGTGCTAGAGGTTGGCCTAGTCTATCTGCTCACTTTTGTGCATTAGGTGAGATTTGCTCTTCTGTAAAAAGAAGATAGGTCTCCTAGTTACATCAAAACATGTAAAGCCAGGAAGCCAGTTTGCTAAACTCCTTCCTGGCCAGTGATACATACCAGTATATATTAACCTTAATATCCAGCATAGATTATACTGAAGGTGAGTATCTGAGCTGTACAAAAAGAGGAGCAACAAGCCACAAACTCAAGTAAATGTGAGCCCAGCACCCCTGGGTTTAGGCAGCCTGCCACACATTTTGCAGGGTTCTTGGAAGAATAGGTGAAAGTTCTCACAGGAGCCAAGAATTTCTTTTCATGGTTAGTTCTGATGAACAAGGTCCAGAGCAAGGAGTAAGAAGCAACGTAATGCCACAAGCTGGCTTCAGTATTAATGCTGAAAATAAGCTTCTGTTAGTTAAAGGTAAATAGACATAAGGCAATAAAAGGACAGGAACCCAACTGCTAAATTCCACCCAAACTCAGTTGTTGAGGTCAAATGGCCAAATGATATTGCATCAGCTTGTGTTATGGATTTATACTAGGATACGTGTTATTGTTTGAAAGCAACTTGCTGCTTTAAAGCTAGTATTCATAAAAACACAGGACACTGAAAAACAATGTTTCCATTAACCTAATAGTCTATCTATTCTTAACTAAGGTACAAACATGCATTTTGGAAAACCTGCAAAGGAAGAACTTTCAGAGGAGACAGTGAAGTGCTTAAAATGAAATATAAATACATATATTAAAATAATTTCAAGTAAAGGCATTCATTTCCTATTCATCTAGTTGACACATCAAGCTAAGGCATTTCAAATGAGAAGAGATAAACAGAACTACTTTTTTTGTTACTAGAGGTGATAACTTCAGGGTTTGCCTGTCACATCACTGCTCTGATTTGAATTTCTGCTTTCAATCAGCCTTACAAGCAAACTGTCGGCATCATTTTTATCCATCTCCTTTATTCCTAATATGTCATAGATGATACCTCAGTTATTGCTTCTGTATTTTGTACGTGGAAAGAAGGCTGTGAAAATAAACTCAGAAAGAAGAAAAAAACTATTTAAAAAGTAATGACATTTTATAAGACTGATTTTATTGGTGTAAAAATTTAGTGCTTTTGCATTTCTTCAAGATAACTGCTTTCATTCCACATCAAAAGTCTTTAAAATTCTGTCAAATAGCCTAATGGAAATCAATCACCTCTCTCAACAACTTGCAGCAAGATTTTGAACTGCTGTAAAAGAGGCTTAGCACCTTAAAAAATGCTAGCCAGTTATGTTTTCTACCAGGAAGTCCTAATTCATGATGATGAAGTAATTAATATTTTAATTGTATTAAATATCAAAACTATTAGCTATCAATGTAGTCTATAAAAGATGAGATCTTAACTTTAGAATGTTGGCAAGAACTGTAGACTTAAAACCATTGGGAAGATTATTATTCCTTCAGTAATGTGCAGATGACATTTTAACCACAAAAATGAGACCGTGTAAGAACGTTTGTTTTGAAAAGATCTTAAAAGAACTCCCTTTGCCTTGTGCCCTTGATTATAAAGCCCCTTACTCACAAGAAATTCCATGTGGGTGTTTTGAGTGAGCATTAAATATTAATTGCTTTCCTCCCCCAGTGGAAGGGTCTCTGCTTCTGCATTCTTTGGGCTAAAAAGTTACAATCCTCTGCTTTCCTGCCACAAAACATCATGGCAGATTATCTTTGGAGGATGCAGAAAGTCCCAAATATGGAACTTGAGACCAAATGTTTTCAGTTTTTTTTCCCCCCAAGAGAAAAGCTAGCATTCTCTGAAACAACAAACTGCTAAAAGAAAAAATAAGTGGGTTTTGAACATCCTTGAAAATCAGACTTTCTCCCTGCAAAGAATTACTTTTCTTGTTCTCAGTGAAAACTATTTCTGAAGGAAATTCCATCTTCCAACCTTTTCTGTGCCACATCAGATGTCCCAGTTCACCACATCACCAATTTTAACCACAAGTCCCTGTTAAGGCACCGTGGGTCATAAAGCCTTAATTGTGGTTGGAGGAACTCTTAAACCTGTCCTACAATTGCAGGTGCTGTTCATAGCTGCATAATTCATTGCTTGTCAGTACCTTTATTTTATTTATTTTAAGTGGCCAGGGAAATGTCGTCAGCATTAGTAAGTGTAACTGGGAAGCATGTAGCAGGGAAGATTAGAGTAATTGTTTCAGAATCCTGAATTCACAGATGGTATAACAAGAGAAATGTTGCACATGAAGATTGTTTTCACATCACATGGCACACAAATGCTCGTGCCAGTGGTTTCCAGAGCACTGCCCAGCTGGCCAGATGCTGATTCCAGTTACCAATGAAATAACTTCGCTCTGTGACAGGAGCCATCTGTTACTGCTCAGGGTTCTGCTCTTGCTGGAGTTTCATACAGACCTTATGCCTGAAGAGTTTGCTAAATGTACTGTGTCCTAGCTTGGGGGACTCTGCCTTCTTTTTCTTGGCTCCTTTCGTTTGGGATTCTGCCGCTGTCTTCGGAGCAGGTTGCCCCCCATGGCCTTTTTCCGCTTTTGATCCCTTTTGTACAACAGCATTTGAAGTTGAGAACTTACTGCAAATCTCTTATTCGCTTCCCAAAAGACATTCAAAGACTCATACATTCAGTATTAAAACCAAACCATTTCCTTTTTTGCCATGGACAATAAATTATGTGTTCTCCTGAGTGATTACCCTTCACACACGAGTAGAGACAAAAATATAAAAGCCAGGGCAATCCAGCTGACTCAAAATTAAACCACAATTTTCCCACAGTTAAAATCTTCATTAAATTGAGACCCATCTCCCACAAAGACAGAGACATGTATTTTAAATTCACGAGCAACCAACTTGGAATTCTCCCCAGTCTTCAACACGCCACTCTGGATTTATCAATGCAGGAAAAAGCTTATGTTTTCTTGTTATAAACAACAGGGTTTTTTTCCCCTTCACTACCACTTTAATCTTTTCAGTAATAAAAAAAGGAGGGGAGACAAATCCATAAGTATTCAAGATTGCTTACCTGAGTTTCAACAAAGTTAACATAAGAGTCTGTTCTGTGGTAGCTGCACTGTCCACATGCCCATGAGCTATGACTACCCACAAATAACATGGGGCAGCATTCTTCACCCTTCAGTGTCTCAGTGTCAGGTTTGAAAGCAGTAAGATGCATTTAATTACCTAACACAAGAGAAGATGTACTATTTTTCACTTACTATTTGCTAGCATCCTGGACTTCATTCCAATCTCCCTTGGCAATTTATTTCCTGATTTAATCAGGAATCAGGTCAATGTAGAGTGCAAAAATAGAAATGTTAAGAGTTATATTTCAATGGCAAATGACTCAAGTGTTCACCCTCTGGGTAACTGGCTTGTCCATTTGCAAACTTCATTCTGTTTTCTTCTACACTTGAACAAGGCAAAAAGAAAAGCTTCCAACCAGCTTAAAAGCTTTAAAATGAGTTGATAAAAAATGTCCAGGAAATATGGAAGCATGAAGAGACCCAAAATCCAAAGAAATAATCAGCCTACAGTATTTACAACATGAAGCATCAAACATAGTGGTTGACCATGAGTAGTAGGGTAGGAGGAAAGGTCCAGAGTACTGAAAGCAACACAGATGAGCATGTCAAGTTGAGATCTTGCTCTCAAGATTTTCATTTGGTGCAGTTACATGTTTCCTACAAAGTGGTTTGGACTATAAAGAGGCTGTGGCCAGGCACATCAAAATTGTCCATTTTTCCCTGCAGTACTCTATACCAACTTCAATATTCCCAAACACACAGTGATGCAGGAACAAGACAGGATCTGGTACAGAAGGGTCAGATAAGTGATCTGGGGCAGCCCTGATCCAAATGCCACGTGTAAAACTTGCAAAGAATCGATTGATCCAGGGAAGTATGACTCAACTCATATTAAACTCCAGTGTTCACAGGGATGAAATGCCAATCAGTAAGGGTGTGCCCAGGCTGCTGAGAGCATACATGTCTTTACCCAGCTGATTAAAGCCAGAGGCATCACCAATGACAGCATGCTGCTACAAAAAAAAACCCCACAGAGTTCAGCTTGGCTGATGCTGCCCATCTCTGCATTTCCGCAGGAGGGGGCCCGGTGCCGTGGGGCGCAAAAAAGCTGAAGTGGGCTGTGGCTGTTTCTCAGGCTGTCCCTGCTCTGAGCTGTGGGAGAGCACTGCCGAGAGACACCGGGAATGGAGCAGCCCTCGTGTGGTAAAACTCAGCTCCTCCCTGCAAAGGGGGTGCATGAGCAGCCAGAACAAAAGCATGGCCAGGACTCAAAGGCCCAGTGGTCCCTGTGCCAGCCAAACCCTGGGAAAGCCCCACGACACTCGGGAGAGGCACAGGCTGAACCAAGGTTACCCTCACTTTAGAACATATTGTTACCATTAAGAGAGAAGTCAATTCTTGTGGGGAAAATGACTATTATTTCATTATACATAGCAGCTCAAAAATCTGCAGCTCTTCTATGACAGTTGCTAAATTAACCTTTTTCACATATTTTTCCTTTAATATAATGAAATATCATTATATTATCAGAAAGTATTTCTTTGTATCAGAAAGATAGTGAACATAAAGGAATTGCTCATTAAAAAAAAAACCCTGCCATTTAACCTCTATATAACGAGCTTGCGTATCCTGCTAGTCACCTGGATTTGTTTACCCTCACAGGTGTGTCAGCAAACTGAGTCCAAACAGCATATTTGTTTCCAAATTACAGTACACCCAAACCAGCAGTCACTGCTACAGAAGCACATGGGTGCTCGTGATAAAGTTAGGTATGTAAATTGGACTGAACAACTGGAATTTTCAGAAGCTGAAATTTGATAACTACCTTTTCTGGATGTCTTTCAAGACCTCAAGCCTGGTTGATGTTTTTCAGAATTATGATTCCAGAATACAGTGATGTCTATCCCCCATGTACTCACCAAGCTTTCTGGAAAGACTGACTTCATTTTTGTACCAGGACATATAAAAAGATTGAATGGGACAAAGGATAGAAACAAAAAAAATGGTGATACCTATAGTGATTTTGGCTACCTAATAGCTGCATGGGAAGACCATTTCCTTTTTTAGAGTTTTATTATTTGTGTGTTAATTAAATTTTATCACAAGAATTGCAAGAAAAACCTCAGTTATTATAGTCACAATGATGTGCAAGAACATATAATCTGGAAATTTCCAGTTATGTAGCCAGTAATACATCTATAAGCCATTGAAACACTAGAAGATAGAAGGCAGCTTAATACAAATTGTCTCACTTCTACTTCTGTTGAAACTATTTTAAGTTTTGGCACTAACAGAACAGGAAAAAAGAGGAAGTCGTCTTTAAACATCTACATTTTTTACATTTCAGAGGATCATATATTCAACCTAAAGCTTTTCCAGTTCAGGTTGTTCAACAATTTGTTTTTAAGTTTGTTAAGTACATTAGATCAATCTGATATTTTCAATATCTCTAATAGTAAGTGAAAGCTCTAACAATTAAGATTTTCTGAATTCACGTATAATGGACTATCACTGCTCATGGACACTAAACATGAGTTTAGTTTCCTCTTGCCAGTGGAATACAAGAACGGATGGTTGGTAAAGAGGAAAGCAAAAGGCCACATCTGCCTGTTAGGTGGAGGAGCATTTCTCAGGCTGTACCTGTCCAGCCAATACAGGTTTCAGTTCCCAGTGGGAACATCACACGCACTTGCAGTCAGCCTGATGCATTGCATTAGAACAGCTTGAGTGTGCAGTTCACCCCACTTACAAACACCTGATCCTCATCTCTGCGTGTGAAGGGAAGAACCTTGAGCAGTCAGGAAAGGAGAACTCTCCCTGCAAGTCCCTGTCCTGCTCAGAGCAGCTCCATCATCTTCCTTGAGGTTTCAGGTGCTGCACAGGAACAACTCAGCCCTGACTGTAGCACAGTCCACACAGAGGGGCTTCAGCCAGAAGACTCTCAAAGATGACATGTTGGGATCTCCTGCTTTTTATTGCTTTTGGTGGGAAGCTGATCCTTGCCCATCCTCCTGCACCCAGGAGTGGGGGCCCAGCAGTAGCTGTGGGTGTACTGCAGGGCAGGAAGGTGGGAGCAGGCTCCTGCCCACACTCCTGCCCTCCTAACCACAGAGCTGCCACAGGCAGGGGGACCTTGTATGTCATCCCTACCAGGATGTGGAGCTCCAGCAGATATGAAGAGAGATAAAGGAGATATATAGGCAACCAGAAACATAAAACGAGAAGCTTTGCACAGCTCTATGGGCAAATGGAGTTTTCTGTGGACTCAAAGGGATTTCACAGCAAGGACCTACACTTTTAGGTCACGGACAAGACAGAGTAACAGTCAAAGTCGTTACCAGGATATTATAAACCTTGCAGATAATGCTGTAGTTCAGATCTTGATTGTAACATACAACGTGAAGAATTGCATTGCTTATGCTCATTTTCCTTTCAAATTTGTTCACATCAGTTAGGGAAAAAGCAAGACAATGAAAAGAAAATATCCTGGTCAAAACCACCAGGTGACCAGCAACAGAATGAGTGATCAGCCTACCTTGTCTTCAGAATCACTTTTGGCTTCAGCTTTGCTTGGGGAGACCTTAAATGTATTTGAGAAAAACAAACAGTCACACCCAACTCAGCCTTTCAAAAGATCTGAAAAGGTCATGTTTGCAACGAGCCTTTTTTTTGAGCACAAAGGTGAGAAAAGTACAAATATTGCTTTCTCCTCCATGTGGGAATATTTATAATATAAATGTTTCTTGAGAACAACTTAAGTCAGTGACTAAAATGAAAAATACCTAGACCAAAGACACATTATTCAAGCTTATACATCCAATTTATCCTAAAAATGAACTTTTAGAGATATTACTAAATAAAGTTGAATCATACAGAAAGTCCTTAAGACAGCTAAATACTTCCAGGTCTACAAGACCTGGAAGTATTTACCTATCTATGCAGAAGAGGAAGGGTCCAGAGTAGGTCATCATTTGATCATAAATGCACTGTAACTACATATCTCTTTATCATTCTGAAGTCATTCTGCAAGGCATCTGTTTGGCTTTATTACTTTTCAGTGCCTCTGACAGCAAATATGTTGCACTTAGCTCAACAAGTCCACATGATGCTTTTATAAGCAATGTAAAGTCCAGCTGAGAGGTGAAAAGGAAAGGCGAAAGCTTACCAGCGTTTTAAGGAAGCTCATGACGGAGTTATCTGCTGCAGCAGCTGGTGCTGGGCTCTCTCCTTTTACCTCTGCCTTTTCAGGTCCTTCAGCAGCAAGACGGTTGACACCTGCCGAGCCCTGGCGTAGGTCTTTTTGGTTGCAGTCATCTATCTCCTAAAAAAAAGGGGGCAGAGTTACCTCAGTTCTAGCTTGCTTAATTTCTAGTGGAATGCAAAAGTAACGTTTGTGACTTGCATTATGTTGCTCCGAGAGTCACAACCCTAATTCCAACCATACTTCTCCAGCCTACGAATCCAGAACAATTGAGCTTTTATACTTCTCTTTCCCCGCTTTTTTAATATATTCAGCATTTGCTGTTGGTTGGAGGAACATTGTTCTCAGCCACTGAGTATAACAAACACAAGTAAAGTTGCATAGAGCATCCCAAACAACATTGCTTTCTCTTCTCAAGGCTGAACTTGTGAATAGGAACACATGCTGAGATTTTGGCCTTTGATGGCTCAGTGTCTGATTGTCCCATACAAAGACTGCTTCTGATATTCTGTATTCTGCAATTCCAGAAATATTTTTTATCTAGGAAACACAAACATGGTACAGATTAAAAGAAGGAAAAAAGCAACAACCCAAAGTAATTCTTCCAAGTCAGATGGAGCTGCCTCCTCTCTTCCTGGATTTACAGATCCCAGAAATAGTTTTCCAGTGCTCAAGCACTCACAAATACGCAATATTATGTTACTCAGTTTCCGCTTAGACACCTAGACAAGGGTCTGTTTTTTTTTAAAAAAAAACCCTCTTCTTAAACAAGTTTGGGAGAGCTTGGTGCCCTTTCATACTGAACTTGCCTGCCAGTCTGGCCTTGAGCCTACCCAGGTAAAGCCAACATAAACATTGTGTAAGGGAGAGCAGCTTGAGACAAGTCTTCATGTCCCATTCAGCATTTATTTTTTTTACATTTAAAAGTACTACATCTGGCTAATAAGGTCTGAGCGTTGCCAATAATCCTCCTCCCCTTTGTTTATCTGTCCACATTGTAAGTGCAGGGCTGAATCTGTCAATTATTAAAGTAAATTCTTCAGTAGAAGTTATCACCCCAAACTATTTAGACAGCAATACGCATGTGGTCACTGAAACAGTCACCAGAGAAGCAGTTGTTAGGATACTAGATGCTGAGATTATTCCAGAAAAAAAAAAAATCAGCACAAGAAATAAAACTCAGGAGTCTGTCCAGGTGTCTCAGGTAAACAGCATCTTTGAACTACTGCTCTCAAAGACTGCTTGGAGGTCTAAGTGACACCAAGAGCTTTTTTCCTAAGATGCCAGTTAGATATAGATGTTTGTTTTTTTTTTTTTATTAAGAAAAGTTAAAATAAAATTGTACTCTTGAAAACATTTCCCTGTACTGAGTGACTAAACTGCCACAATATTTGTATAGGATTTGCAGAGGACACACATCCCTCTATGTCACTAAATGAAGGAGTAGACTAAAGAAAGATGCATAATGTTTTAAAGCTTCAGAGGGTTGAGCTGGCATCAGGAAAGATGAGCATGGAGTGGTCAGTCTACATGCAGCAATTAAGGAGTTAAAATACACAAAGTTTCACTTGCTAGAACAGACTTCTGTCTAATTCTCCACCCATCATTTTCCACGTTTACCCAGGAAGAAACACTTCACAGTAGTTCAGAGTGCTTCAACAGATATTTAGAGGTTTCTTAGAAGGGTCTAACACGCCACTTTGTCCAGCTGCCAGTTACAGGCCAGAATGGCTCCAAGAACAATATGTCCCATGCAGAACATGCGTGGTCACACCAGCTTCAGCAGCCCTGCTTCCAGGGATGCCATCTAAAGAGCTCTGCTCACATGAAAAATATGCTGGCTCTATTCCAGATGTTAAAGGGGCAACAAAGGCATGAGACAAGAGACCGCAGCAGCAGAAGGCAAAAGATATGTTGCTAAACAAAACTAGCTTCATAACTGAATTACTTGATGCCATCAAACTCTTTACTACTTGATGCTATCAAACAAAGATAAGCAACTTTTTAAATATATATGTATATATATTTTAAACACAGTCAAGCCCAAGCTCTGGTGCTGGGCTGCACTGTTTAGGAGGAATGGATCTTTTTGCTAAGCACTGTAGCAAAGGGCTGTTGGCAGTCGTGCCTGAAGCAACTACAGAGGTGAGAGGTACCACCAATGGGAGCACCAGATGTTCCAGCATATCTCCCTGCTAAAGCCACACTCTGCCCTGCAGAAGTGAAAGCTATCACAGGCTGCTCAGAGCCTGAGGCACACTGCCATCCAAAAATACCTGAACTCTTGACATGAAGAGCACAAATGGGCTCAGTAATGACCCACTACTGCATGAGGAACCCTACTCCAGGATTTCCAAGCCAAGATTGCCATTAGCTACTGAGATACAACTCAGATCTGGACTTTGATAGATGCTGTGACCCTTCTTGCACTTTCCTGGGAATACTGCTGTAGGAAGGAGCACAGACTCAGGCCATCAGCATATAAATCAGGGAGAGATAATGTGGAGTCCTACAATATGACATTTTCAGAGCCCTAGTCAAACAGCCACAAAAACCTCTGTAGTAGCTCACTGCATAATATGCTGCACAAAGCCCTGGAGGCAAACAATGAAAGAAAACGAGAAATAACAGAGGAAAGTCAGTATTAGAAGTTAATAGATACTATTCATTTCTTTGAGGAGCCAAACTTGGGGGTAATAAGCACCTTAAAGACTTATACTGTAGTTTCAGTTCAGTCATTAGAAAAACATATCAAAAGGATGTATTCCTGCCAGCACTTTTGTTTGTATGAATCATGGCTCAGTGAAACATTTCAGGCATATAATTTATCTTTTCTTTGGCTTACATAGTAAATGCTTCATGAATTCATGAATTCTGTCCTTGTTTTAATTATGCTGTGTTCTGAATGTAGTTTTGTAGACCACAAAAATAAAGAGTGGTTCACCAAACACAGAATGTTTGTGCAGCTCTTAAGCTACAACTGTGGAGCCTCTCTCTTACTTACCAGTAATACTGTTTGTTTTGTGTTGGCACTCAATTCAGGGAAAATTTGCTTTGCTTTTAGCTTTTACAGATACTATAAGTCATAATCCATAAAAAAAAAAAAAAAAAAAGAAAAAGAAAAAACACTATTGGGAGCAATATCTGGAGTTTTAGTACAATTATTTGGTAACAGTTTGTAGTTACTACAGTAACAGCAATTAAATTATACTTGGTCATTCTCATATCCTACAGGAGAACTAATAACTTTAGAGGGAACAGAAGGCAACTGTGCTTCAAGGCAGAGCTACAGCCTTTGTTCTAGAAATGGAGTTAAAGTTTGGCGGTATATCAGAAAAATTTAGCTAATATTTTTCCCAGAAAAGGTCTTCAACTCTTCTTTGCCCCCAACATATACTCCTTTTCATATCTGAAGAATGAAACACAAATTATACTCCAGAAATTCAAGGATAGGCTTAAAATTTCACTCTTCCCTGTAATACAGTTCTGCCACTCATTTACAAAATTGAGGTTCCAGTTGTTCAGATGAGTCCTCAAAGATTCTCAGTGGTGCAGCCTTAAGCACATGCATAAGAGATGTACAGGCACTTTAGTTAAACAGGAGACCTGTCCTCAGGCAGGACCCCAGGCCCCAAAACACTGTTGTGTGGGCTAGGATCCTGCAAACACACAGGTCCCAAAAACCTACAGCTGATGAGTGCCTGGGATTTCCAGATTAATTCCATTATTGAGGTTCAGGATGTGGCTATGTATGAAGTGAAGACTGGATCAGAAGTCAAAATTAGTAAGAAAGCAAAGCATTATTGATACAAAAAAAATCTGGATCTGAATGGGCAATGCTTCTAGTATCTGCTTAAACTGGCAGAATAAGATTTACATTGTCTTGTCCTGTTCCCTGATGGTTGCTAGTTACAAACACTTGCCTGCTTGAGCTTTCTCAACATGACCATTTGCTGCCAGCAAATGATTACAGCTATTTATTATTATTTCATTACAGAGAGTTTCATACTGTATTACTTCAACAGCACAAACTGTGACCTTTCACACTCTGCAGTTTGCAATCACAGCAAAATAGGAAGTTACAGATTTTGCATTTCATTGTAGAAATAATTCTTGTGAGCAATAGGCAAAATTTATTCTTTGTGTGTATTAGTTAAAAATACCTGCAGGAATTTACAGTGTTGAAAAGCTTCAGTCTCATAAGCTACGAACAGAACTGCCAGTATGCACTGAATAGATTATTCATTCTGAATTATCCACCCTCTTCTGTTTATGTAGTGAATGGCTTGATATTCTGCTAGGTTGAGACATGGGATTCTGTAAATGCATGTATATAGCTCTCTGGAATACTATTGATGGGTGCCACTTTTGAAGGGCAATTGTAAAAACTGCAACTGTTTTTTCTGACAAATGAATCTTCAGGAAAATACTACAATTTATAAGTTTATACAAGAAGTGTGATTTGAGAAGGCATAAGAGAGACAACAAGGTAGGAGAACATATATTAAAGAGACTTTTGGGGACAACCTGTAGTGTTGTCAGTGCAGGCAGTGAGCATCCTGTGAACCGTTCAACACTAGTCAAAGCATTAGTGATCGTACAAGAGTTTTATCTGTAAGCCTGAATGAGGCCAACAGAAGTAGTTACTATCAAAATGACCTTTACACAGATTGTGATGAGGAGGCTGTGCTGCTAATTTCTCCCCCCCCATTCCTGATGTCAGGCAGGATTTCAGATAGATCACCAATTTATGTATACTGGCACCTCTCCACTGGAACTAATAAAAGTTATGCCACTTACCCTCATCCAGGGGATGAACTTTTTCAGTAGTTAATCACTAAAAATTTAATCCTGCATTTGCTGATATCAAACTTTGCAGGAAGTGTAAAATCTGAACTCATGTCTGTTCTCAGCTCCTTTCTTTGATTAGTGTGCTCTTTCAGGTACGTTATTTAATTTCTTATATTGCATTCTGATCCTGTAAAATCAATTGTAAGGGACCATGTTTCCTGGACTAATAAAAAAATCACAGTAGCTAAAAGCACAAATTGCTACTGCATAGACTGCACAGCATTCCTTATTCTGCTTGTAGGGTATGCAACAACCTGCTCAAGAAGACTATTTTAAGAATTGCACAAAACATACTAACGAGCTTCTTTAAAACCATCCAGTGTCAAACTCCAAGCTCCTAAAGCATAAAAACCAATTTTACTTTCAGGAATTTTTGCTTTCATTCGCAGCTGGCTGCTGTTCCCCATCCTGGCAATTGGATCGTGAAGACATCTGTCTTGCCCAAACCTTTCAGAGAAATGCAAATGAATTTAAACTTGAGGTCAGATGCCAGAATCGAGCCATGAGGCCAGCGTCAGAGCTTTCACCACTCCAGCACAGGTTCTTCTCCCCTACCTCCATCCAGCCATCTCTGCAGGGGGTAACCTGCAATAATTTTAAGAACGACACCGATTCATTCACACAACCATCATGACATCAAGTTGTCCCATGCTATTAATATTCCTAGGCAGTTTCATTAGTGAAATGGATATTCCTACTCAAGCACTTGCCTTCCCCTGTGGGACACTGTTTGATGTGGTCTGTAATCCAGCAGCCTCTTTCACTGGGATGCTCCCGTCGGGAAGCTCGGAAGCCCGCCTTTCCTCTTGGCTATCAGTTTGTGCTTTCCTCCCTTCGCTCCCCTTCTCCAGTTTGAAGATCCTGTCAAAGAAGGTTACTTGTTTTGGCTTCGAGGTGGCCGCATCCTCTCCCTCAGGTGTCGCTGGTGCCGTGAGGGCGCTGCCACGGGGCGCTGCGGCCGGAGGGGCCCGGCTCAGGTTTTTATGTGCTCCTTCCTCCGGCGCAGCTGCCGCGGGAACCTCCGGGCTCTCACTCGCTGCTTTGTTCGCGTCGGGCGCCTCTGAGCTGACATCAAGTTTCGCCGATGCAAGCGATGAATCCGTAGCTGGGTCTCCGGTACGCCCTGGTACAGCCCATGCGAAGGCAAAGACAGAGCGGGCCCTGGCAGATGGCAGAGCTCTCCTGGCAGCGCTCCCGAGGCTCTGCCCGCCCGCCTCGGCACCCGGGCTCTGCTCCATTGTCTTTGGGGAAGAAACGGCCACATTATCCCGTGCAACACTTGCCTTTGCATCCACTGCAAACAGAGGCATAAAACAGTAATTATCCAGCACAGCAAAGAAGTTATACTGTTGTACAATTAATTGTGGCGACCTCGCTCTTTAATAAACTAATTCTGAAACACGGAGCCTTGGAGATGGCCACACAGAGTGCAGCTTGATTAGAGACCCTGTTGTATTCCCATACTAAATACAAGCTGCTGCTCACCCATCAGATGTGCCCGTCTGATTTTTCCTTCCTGTCATTCCTCATCCAAGTCAGTGCAAATGTTATGTTCTCCACAGCCGTCTCTCAGCTGCCAAACTCCACCAGCAGCCCAGGTTTTTGACTACTTACCCCAGCGGACATGCTGAGGATATTTTACTTTCCAATTAAAATTAAACAAATGATACACAAAATAAATTAATAAAACTCGATATAGTTATATATTAATATATTGCTCTTTACTCTCTCAAAGCTAAATAGGAAAAAAAAAAAGAATGAACTCTGCAAGTGCTGTTTTTGTTTCCTGGCTTGCTGAACTCCCCACAGGGCTCTGCAGTCATAACTTATTTCATTCATTTTTCCAGCCTTGCTCCTTGCCTTGCTGCCTGCTCCCCATCGTGCATTTTCAACTTACACCTCTTCTCTATTATCTGTAGGTTAGTTTGAGCCTGATTTGGATGCTTAAAAAACACATCCGAGCTAGGCTTCTTATCCTTGTTTCTGACTCTTTTTACCCACAAACATTATGGTTCTTAATCACATTTCCACCTCCCCCCCCAAATTCTCACAAATAATTCCCCCTTGTGAGCACATGGGGCCATCACAGTTTACATTTGAAAAGTCTTTCATCTTAAAAGTATATTTTATGATTTTGTATTACAATGGCACATTGATAATACAGCTGAGGTGAAAAAACTCTAGAGGAGAAGAAGGCTCCTGCTGTACATAAGACAAAAGGAGAAAAAAAAAAAATCTTTCTTGTATCTGTTTTGCTGGTGGGAGACAATCGTAGATTCTGTGGTGTGAAACCCCAGTGAACAAGAGGAGGCTTGTCGAGAGGTAAACCTCACAGCTTCCTCTCAGCTTGCGCTTCTCTTCCTCACTCTGACTAGGAGATACATCTCATTTCCCTGTCAATCATCACCACAGATTTCAAGGATGAATTTAGAATAACTTAATTATAACTGTGAAAATCTGACAGTCTCAAACTGACTTGCCAAATTACGATTTTAAAATTGTCAGTTTCAGTGTAGAATTGAAATTATTTCAAATTATAATTGTAATAGTCTAGTCAATATTATGCCCTTCACGATTTGCTGTAACAGAAATAAACCCCCCAGAAACTGATAAAACCTGACTAAAACACCCCTCTTCCGCAGTACAGCTCTTCAGTGACAGAGTTAGGGCTGTGGTGGCAGGATTCACAACTGCAGCCAGCATTTTACCAACTGCTGGGGAGCTGGCTCCTATCTTCTCTATGTCTAACATTTTTACTCTGATGTTTGCTTTCTTATTGTGTTTTAAGCACAAACAAGCATGCAGAAGGGCCAGAGTGCCCCAGTACAACCTGTTCTGTCCAGTTAAACACATTTTTCACTTCTTTGTGTGTGCTCTAATAGAGAAAATGTCTTTTCCTGGATTCTATGTGTTACTATTCTTGTAAGGAAATAAGTCACACTGGGAAGAATCCTTTGCCAGTAATAGTCTTCTGCTGTATTTTATGAACACCAATTTCAACATACCAACATGCAAAGAAAAGTTGCAAATAACTTGCTGCTGAACAACCTGTTAAGCTATTCAGTCAGGGCCACTAAATACCAGTTATAGTTTCCCAAAACTCCTGTATTGGAGGGCTATAAGAAAAGGAAGCACTAACTTCTAATTATAGTTGGAAACTTGGGAAGAAAGCAAAAAGCAAACCCTTCCCCAGCTAAAGAAACCAGAAACTACATCCATTGGAAAATAATTGTAATAGCTGCTGAACTTCTGCTTTATGTAACAGATAAATTAAACACAGGAAAATTTTCCTTAGTGTAAAAATAGCGATATAAGCTCATCATTAAGAAAACCAAACAAAGAAAGAGTAGCTCACAAACCTACCGAGCTCCTTTTATCTCTAATTATCATGGAAGGAATAAAAGACCTGGAAAATGTCACCAGCATGAGCTCTGCAGCATGTCTCTTGTGTCAAAACAGTTCAAACTGTTTCAGGGCAAGTCTGCTCCGACACCAGGCAAAGCAGATCCCACCACCAGGGAGGAGACTCTACCGTGGTGGGTGAGTCTGATTCATGCCATATCCACAGCAAACTGAAGAAAGGCTTTGAAAGTGCAGCATTTGGATGAAAAGTACATAATTTTTGTTTTTAAAGAGGGACAGAACTACCATTCTTTCCAAAATTATCCCACAATACAGAGGCTGAACTAGAAATAGAAGCAAAACTTCCCAGATTCTAGACCCAGTCTGCAAGTAGATCGAAGGTGCACACTCTGAGATTAATAACTGCCTGCTCTGCAACTAAAATCAATATACAATTTACAGCACTGCTGTGGGATTGCATTTCACGCTACTACTACACAGGCATTTTCCTTTCAAGTATTTAACAAAAGACAGTCACAGCACAGAAGATTTGTCCTTTTCCCTTCACTTCTTTAAGATATGTTGAAAGGCAATATTATAGTTGTACAAAGTCCCTCTTCTCTAAGAACACACTCAAAATAGGGATTTATTTTTTTTCCTGAAGCTTGCTAGATTAGATTGATATTTTTTCTTTAACTCATAAGAAAAACTGCAGGGAGAAGAGTAACTGTTAGTGCAACTTGAAGTCAATACCATTTCCCTGCTCAGAAGTAATTGCTGACAGACTTTCTTCCCTCTTCCTTTTGTATCCTTGACATTAGCATTTTAAGCTCTCCCATAGGTTGAGGGTGAAGAACAGCACTATGTTTGCTGACATAGAATTGGACCAAGCCTGTAGAATTAGCACTGAGATTTAAAAAGTGAGTGCTTAGGTTTTAATAGAGCCAGCAGATAAAATATTAGAATCGACAAAGCCTTAAGATGAGTACAGGCCACAGCTGACCACGCAAGCTGCAAACCTGACCATAGAGGTGTGGAATAATTTCTGTTCATTATGGGACCTAATGTATCCAGAACTCCACAAGCAGGCAGCAGAGCTCATAAAGCTACAGTGCAGAGTGCCTGCAGCAGAACACCTATTCCACATGTGTTTGGGACCAAGACACAGCACTTGACCAGAGGGAACAGCAGATGTGAGCAAGAACGTTGAGGATGCGACTGACTGGAAAGGAAATTCAGAGCCACTAGTCTGACATACACAAAAAGGCTGCTTGCGCTTTTGTCAGCTGATTTGCTATTGCTAGTCAGTGGGAATATAACCAGATTTCAGCCTGCTGCATGTAGCAGATGGCAGTCAAAAGTTCCCTCAGGTGGGACCAGAAGGAATTTTGTCCTGCACTCCCAAATTGCCTTCCCCCTCCCTCCACTATAGCCTGATTTTCTCTGAAGGTTAGTTTGCTTTTTTTATTCATGGCAGCAGCCTAAGCCATGTACCAGGTAGGCATCTATTTTTGATGCTCAGTTTGCCAAGGTTAAATCCTTCAGATATTTTCTAAAACATACTCCTTTTCCTTAGCCTGTGATTGCTGGACTGCTTGCAGCAGTTACATGCATCCTCATGGCTAATACTTACACAGAGAGAAGATATAAAATAAGGTCCACCATGTCTTACATTGGCAGGATCTCAACTGCCATTTTTCCTAATGACTTTTTCACAGTGCAAGCAATTTTTAGCTGTTGAATGAGGAAAAACTTGAACTGGCAAGGTCTAAATACAGTTTTAGTGTCTCTGATTACTTTGAGTACAAGCCAGTTGCAAATAGATATTTTACTTTGCAATGTAATTATACTAGGACAGCTTTATCTTGTTCCCTGGAGTTCAAATAATCATGGAGACAATGGATTTTAATGGCCATGAAGGAACCATTAATGGCTACAAGACAACATTGGGCATTAAGAAGTCCATCACTGTACAGCAAAACAAAGGATTATAATAGCCCTGAACGAATTATTGTAGCAAACACCGGGCTTAAAAATCTAAATACCTAACAACAAAAGGTGATTTTTTCTAATTTACATTTATGATGTATTTTTATAGATGTTGCCTTGGTGAATTTTTTTTTCTGTTATTCAGAACGGAGTTGGTATCACAACGTTATAGTAGATGTAGAATTTTTGGATCTCCAAGTATACCTTGTGTTTGTGTGGGAGGTCCCCAAAACCTGTTGTGACAAGACTAAATGACTGAATTTTCAGAAACGTTCCAGAATTCCAAATAAGACTTTTCCCCCTGTTCTTGAAGAAGGAGAAAAACTAATAATATTCTTTTGCAATCTTGCTAAACTATTCCATGGAAATAAGTTGATAGTACATTTATGCTATGAAAATAATTTTATTTCACTAAATTAACTAACATCATAATTTCCCTAAGAGGTTTACTGAAATTAATGGAAACAGGGGTAGAGAAGCTAGCAGCAAGAAGAGTAATGATCATTCTTTGAAAAAAATAACTAAACCACATGATGTTTCACACCTTGCAGGTACATACAGCTATTGCAATACACCCATTTCTGTTAGACACTGACTAGTAGCAGAACTTGCCAAATCAGATTTATTCTCTGGAACAAAGGAGTTTCATCTTAACTGAACTTCTGTTCCTTGTGTAATCTCTCTTTTTATGAGTGGGTCATTGTTTTGATCTGCATGTAATTGCCACCCAAATACAAACAAAAGCTCTACGTAGTGTGAATCTCAGAGATAAACAGCTCTTAGTTCTGTCCTTCTTCCCTTTACCTGTTGTCCAGGAAGAACTTATGTTAAAGCTCAAACATGCCAACACAAAACATCAGGAAAAGGCAAGGTCAAATCTCCTGCCCTTTTGCTTGCAAGGCACCATGCTGTGAAGCAGCAGTAAGGACACCACCACCATTTAAGCTGCATTACAGGAGGAGAAGGTGAATGCTAGCACTCTGGGCAATGTCTGCAGCCCTGATAAGCAATATGGGCAGGAAAGGCAAGTCATGGAAAGAATCCCAAAGTCCCCACATCTGTCAGCCTGTTTGAGCAGAAGCAGCAAAGGTAGGGAAACAGTCACCAATCTGCTTGTCCAGATGTGAAGCAGATGGTGACGAGGGACTTCCAAATAACATTACTTCCTCTGGTCATATTAAGTTAACTCTCTGGATTCTTTTTTCCCCTTATATTAGCAGATATAGATTTCATAGACTCGTTTATCAGCTATACCATTTAATGCACAGCACATGGTCAGATCACTGGCAATCACAGAAATGCAAACTAACAAGACAAAGACCACAAACATACATCTAACACTATTAATAAAACCCTCTAGCTTCACTTCCTTTTTTTGCAACTCTTTTGTCTTCTCCAGAAGTACTCACTTCATGGTCATAAAATAGATCACAGCACTATTACTTGTATTATTTCATTTTAGAAATACTATCAACTACATTTTCTATAGGGATAACTTCTATCTCCAAACAGCAGTTGCACTTTTATTTCACCAAGACCTTGATTACATAACACAAACCAGTGAGATTTCAGTGGTATCTAAGTAGTTAATGTTTCTTACTGCTTTTTAAACATTAATAAAGTTAAAATACAACAGGGCAGTACAATTTTTCAACTTGCTACTTAAACTGATTTAGTAATTACATTAATTAGGTAATCCATTTAAGTTAAACAATGCCATATGCTTCATTTTATATATTAAGAGTAAAATGTACACTTACTTTCTAGGTCTTCAGACAGTCTGATCATCTGGCTTTTATTTACTTCCCAGAACTGCTGGTTTACACTAGCAGAAACACACAGCTACAGGCTTTTTTTATTCCTCTAGTAGGTCACCATTTAAAGTGACTCATTAAAACTAGATGGCATTAGGAAATTAGCCATGGTACAGAGATTCTAAATTGTAATCAGTACCATCCACATATTACCATACCAGTTTTTGATTATTTTTGTCTAGGCTTAGATATTTCAACTGGGTATAACAGGCTGAGAGGGTTCTCTTAACAATGAACAATAAAATAATATTTTCTTCCCTTACAGAGATTGAAGAGAATTGTTGGGTTTTATTGTATTTTGAAAACAGAATGAAATCCAATGCAAGGAAAACACTGGTAAAATTAACATGGCTGAATCTGCAGAGATGTAAACTGAAGCAGCACTGCTCCAAATAAATGCTGCCTGAATGCTGCTCAAAAAAGCTCCAAAGCTAGCAAGAGGTGGAAGGAGAAATTAATGAGGTGCTGAAAGGTGAGGAGAGGACATGTCTGGTGATGAGAGCAATCACCCATGAATATGTGGAGACAACTTTTCAAAACTACGTGGAGACAACATCTAAATGCTCACGCCATGTACTTCACACCAGGTTTTCAAGATGTCAACACTGGAGGCGGGGCTGGGGTGCTGACAGGCACCTTTCATGGGGAGCCCAGGGCCCAGCCTGCTGCTAGTGTGATCCCTTGAAAACCTGGCTGCTGTCTTGCCACAAACACCACACAAATAGGTCTGAAGTGGGATTCACTTACTGAGTAATCATTCACGCATACCCTCACCAATATTCAACTTCTACACTAACACTCAGTCTACACAAACTGGGGGCATATTGATTTTATTTTATTAGTGTACAGAGAAAGAGAAACAAGCCCTCACTCCTCCACCATGCTTTTGCTGCCTTGGCAGTAGTTGAATAATATCTAATAAATTCTATAACTAACAAGAGAGAGGCCGTCAGGGTTACAACATCAGTCTTGTGACAGACTAAATTCTGATAAATAGGACTGACCTCCTCATAATAATGTTGTCAGCCATGCTACATTCCCAGCTGTCACTTATCAAGCTCTATTCATTTCTCTCCTATACCCTAAATTCTCCAGAATTCAAACACAGGCAGTTGACACAGTTATATTTTGTTTATGAAATTATCACTGCAGATTAGACATACTCCACACTCTTCAAGAAGGTCTACTACCTCTAAAATGAGAGCAAGGTAGGTTTCTATATATGAGAGGTACCATTGAAGCCCAGCTGAGGACTACAAGTGGCATTTCAATGCAAAACCTGAGGTCCGGAGACAATAACAACAACATCACTGCAGGTATAAAGCCTACCACCGTACAGTACTTTTCCCAGCCTATCACTTTTTCTAAATGATAAACAGGACAGAAAATAAAAATCCCTAATCCTTATACATATTTCATTGTTAAGAAATAATTGTTGGATATCTTTAAGTCAAAGCAATGCACCTACTAAAGAACACAGAACCAGAAATCAGAGCACAAGATGGAAATGTTTAGATGAACAAAAAGGTGCTCACATTTCTATCTTATAATTTCTTGAAAGTGCTACTGAAAATATCAGAAATATGGTTTCACCAAAAAAAAAAATGCAGACGTGGTTTCTAAGACTTTACAGTCTTGTGGATGAGAACATGTAGCTAGGATTTGGGTTTTATTCTATTTTTAATTTCATTTTTTCTCAGAAAGAATTTTGCAAAATTTTCTTTTATTAACATTAAACTGCTCAAAACACCCCCAGAAGGCTGACTGCATGCAGAATGTTTCAAAAGGACGTCTTTTATTACAGTCAGCAAAAGAAGTCTCTCCAAAATGGTTTCCTAGTCCTTTCTTTTTCCCTTTGTCACCTTAATACAACATTACTCTGGGCTTTAAACAGTTTACACTTAAACATTTATTTTGGGCTTGCAAGATTCTATCACCCTTTCCTACAGTCAATACTGTCACAATCTGGGGCACTTGGTAAGCAGCCCTCAGAGTCAGGTAGCTGAAGTGCCAGATCAGTAGTGAGAACTCCTCCTGTGCCAACCTCAGCTATGCTCCAAACACCTTCCTCAAGCTCCTTAACAAAGCTGAAATCAGCTGAGACTGGCTGAGCTCATTGGTAAGCAGATCAACATTACCTGGAGCAATACAATAGTCATTGTCCTGACCTATTACTGCCTCACTTCCTCTACCCATGCCAAGATACTCCATTTCTGCAAAACTTTGTACTATTCTAGCCTGCCTATCTTTAGGTATTATCAGGCAATTTGGGAACAGACCCTTAAGTCTAGGGCACATTGTTGATTTATTTTATAGACAGAAATTTATAATGGCTCTCTATACAAGAGCCCAGTTTCTGTATAGTCCCAGTGATGTGCCCACTGTACCCAGAGAATGGGCTTGGCAAAGCAAAGCAGCCTGATCAACAGCACAAACATTTGCCTCACAAAAGTTACTCCTCTGCAGTAGCTGGGGTATATTGTAAAGCTTGACAGATTTAGTTGCTAACTTGTACAAGTTTTCTTTGTTCAATGCATTCAGTCCCCTTGCTTTCTGTTTTGGTTTTGTGTGTTTGTTTGGGGTTATTTAATAGTCTCCTACATTCCCTTTCAACTATCAGTTTCCACAACAGTGGATATTTCTGTCGGTCATCTGAACACAACAACATCACCTAGTAACTCTCTGCTAGTCGCAGAAATACCATGACATTATTTAAAGACAACTTGCTCTCCCTTCTAATACACAAACTGCTCTCTTACTCCATCCCCAAAACATTTCATTGCATCCCCTATGAACACAAAAACTCATTAACGAGCCACTAATTCTTGCATTGGTGCTGCTGCTGAGTTATGCCCCTCTCAAGAGCCCAAATTTGTGCTCCTTGAAGCAATGATTCCTCCAAGGCTTGTCAGAGGCACTATTTCCCCCAGAGCCCACGCAGAGAGAGTTTATCACAGGACACTCTGAGGTTTGTGCAGCAACCTGCAAGGGACCTGTGGCAAACCACTCCTGCCCTGCAACACTTCACACCAACCAAAATACGCAGTCTATAAGAGTACTTTTTGTGGACCAGATGCAGAACCTAATTCTTAGAACAATTAAACAAACAGCGTTCAGAGGATTTTGGAGACTTTTTCCTATTTTATTCTTTGTTATCTTTAAACTTCCAAGTGTCTGAAAATCCATATGCACTGACTCACAAGTGAAAGCTGAAATAGGGGCTCATCTTTTAATTTGAGACCATGCACCAATGTTCATTGCTGCTCCTGTATAAACTTCTCTCTGCCTGCTTGATGACAAAAGAAGAGCAGATAAGCCACCCTTTCCCAGTACATACCTTCATTGCTCGTTGCAGGAGAATGAGTCTGAACAAATGCAACAGATCCATTTTTAATACTGTCAGGACATTCAGATAGAGCCTGAAGTAGGAAATAATACAGTTCTTAGGACTGGATCATCATGGGAGTGGAAAATCGCAATATTAAACAGGCAGGGAAGAGGAAAGTGGGCAGCTCTTGCTTACCTGATAGCTCTTCACTGTACATGCATTGTCTTCTTCACCTTCCTCTGGAGTGCTCATTGTGTTCCCCATAGCTCCTGTAAAGTGGAGTAAAAAAAAATCCAAATAACCCTTTCTTCTCATTAATATGATTTTACTGATTAATTCAAATTAAAAGACAGCCAATGGTGACAGACTTTGACAGTCTGTTCAAATTCCTAATAATCTCTTTCCTAGAGGCACCTGCTCTTGTCATCAATCTGCACCAACCAGTTTTACTCAAACCCAGTCAAGCACTGGGACTCACAGGTGCTCACTGAAAATGGTCCAGCCTACTCTTGTTTGTTGAGGAAAGCTGGATGCAATCACACCTGCATCATTCCTTAGGACTTGGTAGACAGTAACATGGAGTTAGCAGCAGGATTAAGTGAAAAAGACCAAAAATAGATTAATAAACTACAGCAGCTTGGTGGGGTTCTCTATTTTTGTTTTGTTTCCATTTAAAGAAAGAGAAGAGAAAAGAGGCAGCACGTAAAGACATCACACACATAAACATTGAAAATTAGGCCCTGTATGTCCTGAAGTGATGTATAACAAATCCCCTGGGGAAAATTCCTGCCTGTGGCTGTGGAAGTATTTGGCCTGCTCTAGGCAGCTCCACCAGTTGATTGCAGCTCACAGAAGTAACTGAGCTATGTTTCCTTCCCTAGCTTCACTGCCAAGATTGTAGTTGCAGCAAGTCAGAGACAACACGAACATTCTCCTGTGATCCTGGAGGTGTTGATGGAGCATCTTGTGTTGTCAGAGGTGCAGCACCACTGATACCCAAGCTAGTCAGTTTAAAATGGCTTCCTTGTGTTCATGTCCACTGGTGTCCCTGCTCTGACTACGATCCAGGTATAATCTTAGCTAGTTACTAATCTATTAGATAATTCAACACTTGGTGAAACTGTTCTGATTTCTTTAAACTTTGTTTTAGGAACAGTGTGTTTAATTCAGTTTTAGCCTCTCATATGCAAGTAGACAGAAACCTGATGGGCCTTTTGTTTTGTTCTTTATTTTTCTTTACCCTTTAATTTAAAATACATTTATGTACCCTCTGAGCTTGCTGTATTTTAGGACTGTAAATTCTTTGGGGCCAAACGCACTACCGGCAAAACAGTTGAAGGGTAGACCAGACTGAAATCAAGAGGAAGGTTCCTATTGACTTTGGCTCAGGATATATGTGTGTATATATATTGCTAAAGCTACAAAACCAAACAATAAGGAGAAAGTATCCTGAGCCACACCTTGAAGGAGAAAGGTCTCCAAAGAGAGGAAGGCAGAGGGCTGGAGCCAGCTCCAGCTTCAGTGTTCATCCTGCTGGATGTCCTGCACAGACACCATAGATACCGGGTGTTCTTCTGTTTGATTATTGCTTCAGTTTATGCCTGTATGAATCAGTGAAGCTGCAGACATACGGATGAGAGCAACTTCTTCAGTGTTTTAATTAAACAACTCTTGGATACCAGAGAAAAGAAGGCAAAGAAGAGTTTTGATAAATGATGTTCAGTAGAATTCGAATGCAACAACTGGCTGCTCTCCTTCCAGCCCACAGCCCCAAGTGTCTGCTTCCAGTTACTGTTTACAGAGCTCAGGTGTGTTGTGGTTTCTTCCTCACACCAATCTACAAACCTTTGCTTTACAAAAATAGCCCAGGTCTGGCTTTTATTTCATGCCGCATCCTAGCTGATGTGAATCCAAGCTGGGCCTCTCTCCAGTGGTGGTTATTGTTCTCTGCTTAATGCCACTGATGCTGATACATGAACTGCTTGTACGCTGCCTAACTAGTGGCTGTAGGACTGAGCCTTGATTTCAGAGTGCACAGTTATTGTAAAGGGATTTTGTCTTCTCAGCTGATATTTCCACTACAAATCAGAACTTCTGATTTATGGTGGAAAACAGCCAACATTTCCCCATGGATGTACAATGGCCTCTTGTCCTTGCTATGTAATTCTGTTTCCTAGCAACTTTGAGCATTATCCTATCAGAAGAGAAGAAAATAAGATTCAAATCCTACTGCTTAGTCTTGATGGTAAATTTAGTATCTGGTTGAATCTGGAGGATATACTTTTGTTTTCCATTCACAAGGCCACCTGGTTTATGCCAGGAGACAACTTAAGCAGAGGATGGAATATTTGAAGGTTACATGTTTCCTTTTCTACATGTGCTGTAAAATAAGTACATATTTGCAGGGAGTGAGAGAAGAAAATACCTTTTTTTAAAAAAAAAAAAAAGTTTTATTTTGACAATGATTTGTAGCTTTTTTCTCAGTTATTCCATTTTTCCAGTTTCCTGTTGATGCAGCTCTACTCATGTCAGGTAAGTTATCTTTGATTGTTACAGAGCAGAGGTCACAGGCTCTGATCTCTGGCATGTTTTCCTCTACGAGAGATTACCCATTCTCTGCAATGAAGTTTATAATTCTCACAGAAATAAAATACACACGGTGGTCATGTGGAATTTTAAAAGATTTTCACTCACCAGAACCCTCTCTCAGAGAAAGCTGGACAAAAGCAGGCTATTTTTGCTAAAAATGGGACAAACCTGCTACACAACCCTCTCGGGAATATGATCCCAAAACACCAAATTAAGTTCTCCACCATGCACACATATAATATATTTTCAGACTTTTTCCCTTCTTGCAGCAGTAATTGATTGTATTGGATTATATGAGTGCTATTACAACTGCACACTTGGCATGCTCTGGGGCAAAGTGGTTTCTGAAGAAAGGTGACAAATCTGTGGCCATTCCTCTGGGGACAGAGCTCAGACAACAGCACAGGCTCACAGATTTTACAAGTAGCCCAGATCCTTCAATAAAATTAGGAAGATACATATGTATGTATGCATGCATCCATCCTATTTTAAAGAAAAAATGAGAGGTCACTGCCACCTATAGACAAAACTGAGCATCAGCAGAAGTGATAATATACAAAATGGTATCAAACTGGCAGAGTTTCAAGTTGCCAAGCAAGTAATGTCACAGCTATTTGCTTCTGCCAATGCATGTGGAAGCTGCTGCTGTAAAGACTGTTGCATCAGATTGCACTCAGATGTGGCTCTAGAGGTGTAAAACCAAGCAGCTCCAGCTCTGCCATTAACACAGAGTGGAAAAGTTTTTCTCAAAGAGCTCAGACCTCTGGTTCATATGAACAAATCCACTTACCTTTCATCTGAAACAACCTCCTCGCGAAGCTAAAATTATCAAAATTATGAAGCTTGGAGCCAAAGAGGTTTTCTGAAAAGGGGCTCCCACAAGGCTCTCATCTGGCGTCTTTTTTCACCAATGCATTTCCAAAGACCACCCTTTTGAATGTGGGCTGCCAAAAGCTCAGCACTGAGCCCCATTTGGGCACCCAGCTGAAATCCTCACATGAACAAATGGATTTTCAAAACATGCTGAGGACTCCTAGTGTGCAGTGACTTGCCTGGAACCGTGACTCTTTGGGAGCTCTCAGGATCTGGCCGTGTGCATGTTCCTAGTGGGCAGAATCAGACACTGTCACCCACTGAGGACCTCTGTCCAGCTGTGAACCATCTACTATCTCTTGGGACGCTGACTTGGTCTCCTCATTGTGTATTTTTGTTGTCTCGGTTATTAATTAGCAGTACAACAACCAGTCAGGATCTGTTTGTGCTCTTTGTTCTACCTCTGAAAAGCACAAAGCTGGTTCCTGTAGTAAGCTGTGAGTAGAGAGCAAACCTCCATCAGACCTGGGAGATGTTGCTGGCAAGACGTCTGTTTTATGAGAGAAGATTTGACATTTACCGGGGCAAGACAATTCTGGGAGATTGAGGGGAAAAGAGATCATGCTGATGCAAGAACACTTTTAAAATGAGAGGAAAATGTTTAGAAGTCAAGAGGAACTGGAGTAAGCTCATTCTCATCCTTAGGTTTCCTTTCTAGATACAGATTTTTTAATTATTTTTCAAGGATATTAGCCTCGCAGAGTCTCATTCAGACCAGCTGGAATGCAGCCTGACTAGTTTAAAAAGGAACATGAACTACCAGCCTCCAGATCAGACACAGCTCTGAAACAGTTCCTTTCCCAAATTATGCTTCACCGCTTCTATTGTAATGCAGAAAATAATCCAAAAGAAAAGCTGTATTTTTTTTTAGATGTCTAAAAAACTTTGTATGAACTGTAATGTGCCCTGAGCATGAGCTCAAAGCTTGGTAAAATTCCCATTTTTCTCTCACTCTCAAAAATCACTGTTTTGGTCTTGGCAGAGTGGTAAAAGCTTTGAAAATGACAAGAGAAAATGACAACAAATTCTACGTCAAGATAAGCTTGACTTTTCTAACATATTGACCAACCTGGAATATTACAATGGCCTGTGTCACAGCTGTTATTAATACAAAAAGTACACAATTAATTCCTTACTAAAACTTACTATAGGTTGTACTTAAATGTCAGAAAAATAATCAAATTGACTTAGATCTCTTTGCACCTCATTTCATTATGGAAAGAGTTTAAACTCGCATAAATTCCAGAGGAAAGGAAGGACCTAGCAAGCATTAATTCTTGCAGAAAGCAGCCTGCACTGGCTGCAAGGACTCCATCCTCACCACTTTGGCCCATCGCTTTTTCCTGCCTCTTGGAAAACAGATGCACATAGGGACACGTCAGTGTCCAGCTAGAAAGGCAGAAGCTCCTGCTCTGATTCATGTGGAGCCAAGGAAGGACTAAAATTAGGACAGAATTAAGAAAGTCTCCTTACCTTTCTTAAGTGCAGCACTCAATTGCTTTCCTGCAGAAAAAGATAACTCAGACACGTGTTTTGTATGATGAAACCAGGGGACAAACGCATCTGAGCACTGTCAGTGGCCAAGGAGGAAAAATGGACAGTAGTGAAGGGACAGAAGAAGGAAGGCTTGAGATGACTCACCTAGAGCAAACAAGAACCACCCAAGAACAATCTGAATAGCAACCTGGCAGCTGGCGGTGCATCCAGGACATGCAGAATTACAGTCCTCAAGGCTCTAGGGACAGTTTTTAATGCGGTTCTTTCAGCCACTATGCCTTGTAGCCAAATGGGAAAAGCAAAAC